GTATGTATTTCAAGTCCTTTTCACTTTCAGCAAGCAAAGTTATGTCATCTGCGTATCGCAGGTTGTTAAGGAGTCTTCCTCCAATCCTGATGCCGTGTTCTTCTTCATATAAGCCAGCTTCTTGGATTATTTGCTCAGGATACAGAATGAATAAGTATGGTGAAAGGATACAACTCTGGTTCATACCTTTCCTGATTTTAAACCATGCAGTATCCCCTTGTTCTGTTCGAATGACTGCCTCTTCGTCTATGTACAGGTTCTGCATGAGCACAATTAAGTGTTCTGGAATTCCCATTCTTTGCAATGTTATCCAGAATTTGTCATCATCCACATAGTTGGATGCCTTTGCATAGTCAATACCACACAGGTAAACATCTTTCTGGTATTCTCTGCTTTCAGCCAAGATCCATCTGACAACAGCAATATCCCTCATTCTGTGTCCTGTTCTGTATCCGGCTTGAGTTTCTGGCAGTTCCCTGTAAATATACTGCTGCAACCATTTTTGAATGATCTTCAGCTAAATTTTACTTGCGTGTGATATTAATGATATTGTTCAATAATTTCCACATTCTGTTGGATCACCTTTCTTTGGAATGGGCACAAACATGGATCTCCTCCAGTAATTGGCCAGGTAGTACAAATTTCTTAGTATAGACAAGTGAGCGCTTTCAGCATTGCATCAGTTTTTTAAAACATCTCAGTTGGTATTCTGTCAATTCCTGGAGCCTTGTTTTTTGCCAGTGCCTTCAATGCAGTTTGGACCTCTTCCTTCAATACCGTCGGTTCTTGATCATATGCTACCTCCTGAAATAGTTGAATGTCAGTGAATTCTTTTTGGTACAGTAACTGTGTATTCCTTCCATATTCTTTTGATGCTTCATATACGTATGAAGCAAAGTGTATATACATAGTTTATTTTGACAAGAAGTTTTCCTGAAAGACCTCTGCTCTGTAAAGCAGAATTGTTACACAGGTGTTTCAGAGTTGATCACTTTAGATTTGGAGAAGTTCAATAACAAGCTGGATGTATACATTTCAATGTCAGTGACAAAAGTTTAGGTAATTTATGTATTCCTGAACATGAAGAAGGTTGGGGCTTTCTGGAATCCATACAAATGGAGCAATTTGTTCCTTTCCTTTCTAAGCCAGATCTTACTTACCCATGACTGAAAATAGCCTCTGTTTTGATTTTTCATTAGCCAGATTCTACTGTTTTAGTGCCAGCCTGTTCGCTTCTTTGAACAAAGTGTTGGTATCTAACGGTTTCTCAGGTTTCCAGGACAAATTTCAGGGGAGCCCTCTATTCAACATTGGGAAATAATGGGGACTTAGACTTTAGGGCAACAAGACTTGTTTTCACCTCTGAGAAGGGGTGGCTGGAGGGGGAGCCTACTGATCCTTTCTACCAGGGATGGGTTTGCTTTCTGTAGAAGTAACCCTCGGGCTCTGTGTTCCTCATCATGACAGCTCACGTTTACTGAGTGGGGCCAGAGTGTTTTGTGTGCTTTATTACTTTAATCCTCACCATGACCTCTGAGGGGACACTGACATTACCACCATTTTACAGATGAGAAAACTGAGGTTTGGCAGAGGAGATAAGTAAGTTGCCCAGGGTTCCATGTTGAATCCAAGGTAGAGCCCAGCATAAGACGAGATCTACTGGCTCAGAGCTCACCCTCTTAACGACAACCCTAGGATTCCCAGAGTGAGTCAGCAGGCTGATCTGGCATATGAAGACTCAGGCCTGAGTGTATCCTGACTGCAGGCACAATTCCTGCTCTGGGAACCTTATTTATAGCTTGACTCTTAGTAACCCTCTGGTCACTCATTAGAGTCCCAGCATCTCAAGATGGAAACACCAGCATAGTTTACTTCCACAGCTCACCTGGGCCCAGGAATTCAGTGGGAAGACATGGCCAAACAAGCCTCTTCTAAGCATCTTTGCTTTTTAAATTTTCTGATATTTCTTTTGCTATGTTTTTCTACCTCTCTTTAGAGTTTGTTTTCCTTTACAGTCCATCTGTCTTGATTGATCCGTCTCATTTTGGAATGAGAAATCTTATTTTAATGTGAAAAGTTGATCATATTGAGTAGCCAATGAGTGTGAAGTTCAAAGAGCTCAAATAAAAAGAGAAAATATGACTGAAAGACAATGTTGGTACTTGAGGGAGCCCATTAGTACATTTCTTCCTTGCCTTAGTTTTGAAGAAATTGAGGAGTAAGACAAAGGAGTAAGACAAATGGAGACTACAGTTATCACCTATATTACTGATGAAGCTGATCCTGGAGAACAGAGACCACATCTGCAACAAGTGCGGCTCCTGATGCTAACCTTCAGCATCAGATGGAGGCTCTTCCGGAGCCCCCGACTCTCAGGGAGTGCTGGCCTGAGGCTGGACCCCTTCCCCAGGAGCAGAGCTCACCTGTGGAAATCTTAGCACTCGGAGGAGACTGTTGCATCCTAAGAGGGAGGGTCTGGGCAGCCTCTGCCTGGATGGTCCTTCCAAATTATCCATCAGATGAGCCATGCTAGAATCCCAGTACTGAAGTAAGGGAGAGGACTGAGTGGACCAGCAGTGTGACCCTAAAGGAGGTGGAGGAACAGTGGTGTCACTAGGGGGGTGCAGGGACTGCAGACTGCACCAGGTGACACTGTCAGAAAGGGTGACACCAAAATGACTATAAAATTTTTGTGCAGTGTTTTAGCAGAAATTTATTACTTTTTATAAAAATATCCCTATAGTTATAACAACAAAAAAATTTTTTTTGTTAAGTCCAGCTTACAGGTATCAATATACCTACAAGGCTAAAACTCTATGCTGATTTACCTTTTGAACTTTCTAGTATGCTCCAGTCAGAGCTGTTGTTATTACCGAATAACAATGATGCTTTGAATCACGTGGTTTCGTCTGCACCTGCTACAAGCATGCACTGTTGTCTTCGTTGCTGCAGGTGTTTTTATAGTCGCTGATTTTGTCAGATTTTCTGGTGTTTTCGCTACAATATTGTGGTAATTAGCATGGGAGGGGGAAAGGTGACACCAGGAGTTACCGCACTGGGTGACACCAACCCTAGGTGACACCAATGCCACTGTGGAGGAAACCTCAGGAGAAAGGGAAAAAGCATTCTCCTAACAAATAGGAAGGAGACTCAGAGACTTAGTTTTCTTTCTTTGGGAATTAATTTGATGTTTGTACTTTTAGTATCTATGAATATGTCAGCAGATATGTAAATTAACTTACTTTGTTCTGTTTACATTTTTAGATTCTTTGCTATCAGAAGACCTCCTTCTTTGGTGGGAACTGCATATCCATGATCGATTACCTCCTTTGGCCCTGGTTTGAGCGGCTGGATGTATACGGGGTAGCTGAGTAAGACGTTTGGTCATGGGGTAGTGAATTCCTGGGGTCACCCTGGGTAATGATGGTCGAAATAGTCTGTGTGCTATTTATCCCCCTTTGGATATGTTTTAAGGAGCCCTGGTGGCACACTGGTTAAGCACTTGGCCGCTAATGGAAGTTCAGCAGTTCAAACCCTACAGCCGCTCTGTGGGATAAAGATGTGGCAGTCTGCTTCCATAAAGGTTACAGACTTGGAAACCCGACGGAGCAGTTCTACTCTGTCCTGTAGGGTTGCTATGAGTTGGAATTGTCTTGACTGGGTTTGGTTTGGATTTTTGGATATGTTTTGGGATGTATGTGAAACAAAACCAGGTTTTTAAACCAGCACCGTGTGTTTCCTGGTTAAAAATGCATCTGTGCTCTTACACCACTAACTGCGGGCCCAGACTTTACCCAAATTTCTATTGTTAAGACTCTTGTCCAAAGGCCCCCCTTTGTGCTTCAGCGCCCGCTGTCCTCAGCAGCCCATCCGAACACAGGCTGGTTTTGAAAGCAAGTGGAGAGTCGAGTCGCAGACACCATGTTTTGGCAACTTGTCTGCAGCTCCCTCTGTGGTCCCCCACCTGGTTCCCTACAGTTACAGAAATGTAACTGTACTGTTAAAAGCAACAACAACAACTCCTGCAATTGAGAAACACATATAGCTATTCAAAAAATAAGATTTTCCTCCAGGAAATGATTAAGCTTGCTTGATAATAACCAAAACCAAACCCACTGCCTCCGAGTAGAGTCTGATTCACGGCCACCCCATGTGTTACAAAGTAGAACTGCTCATTTTCTTGACTGTAATCTGATTCTAGGTTAATTTAGTTATCTTATCATCAAGTGATCATGTACTAGTTTCTTAGGGCTGCTGTAACAAAATACCACAAACTGGGTGGCTTAAAACAACAGAAATGTATTCTTTCACAGTTCTGGAGGCTAGAACTCTGAAATCAAGGTGGTGATGAGGCCATGCTCCCTCTAAAGGCTCTAGGGAAGAATCCTTCCTTGCCTCTTCTAGCTTCTGTTGGCTCCCAGCAATCCTTGGCATTCTTGGCTTGTAGCTGCATCACTCCAGTCTCTGCCCCTATCATCACATGGCCTTCTTCCCTACGTGTCTTCACATGGCCCACATCAGTCATTGGATTTAGGACCCACCCTAATCCAGTATGACTCATCTTAACTAAGTACATCTGCAAAGACCCTATTTCCAAAAAAAAGTCACATTCTGAGGTTCCAGGAGGACATGCATTTTGGGCTAGTTTGATTATCAGCACCTTTGAAGCTCTAACATCTTGTCACCACGTGGTTAGATCTTTTACTAGGTATGGGAGCCCTGGAATCTGTTTACTTTTCTTGTATGAATTCAGCTCAGGTGTCCAGGTAGTCGGTCACCAAGTGTGTGGTGCAGGCTCTCACCTACAGTCCGAGACAGGCATGGGTGATTGGTAGAGGCACAGTTACCTGGCTGCAGTAGGGGGTCACATGCTGAGCAAGGCAGGGGGCTGATGGCTGCCACTGAGTATCTGAGAGTAAAGCGTGTTCCTGTTCCCTACAGCCTGTAGGTGGGTGGGTTTTGCAGCTGGACTATGAGCACCCAGTGATGTTGGCTGTAAGGACTGGGAGGCACCACTTATTCTTGGACCCCTGTTGCAGGTGGCTAGGTGGCATAGGTGGAACCACCAGTCCTGCGGCCCCTGATGTGGGTAGGTGAGGACCCTGCATAATGGGCAGAGCAGTGTCAAATGTCACAAACCTGCCACTTCACCATATAGCTGATACAGTTGAAACAATTGAAGTTAGGCTCCAGGTATATACTCTGTTGTACTGTGGTAATGAGGGCCTACACTGTTGAAATGGGCCCGCACAGGTCTGTGCAGGGGTGAAGGCATTCAAAGTCTGTGGACCCCTTATGCCTGCGCCTAGGCAAAGGAACTGTGCCTACCTTGAGTTCCTGGCTTAGGGGAGCTGGCAGATTGTTTTTTCCTGTTTGTTAATTTGTTCCCTCTCCAATACCGGGAGAATGGCTCAGGGTGCATGACAGGTCCTACTTCTGGCCCAAGGGACTTGGCAATCGCTGAAGCTGGCCCAGGACCTGGTGCAGAGCAGGGAGGGGGCAAGTAAATGGGAGAGATGTTTCTCCCAAAGGGGGTGTTTTTTGATCCGTCTGGTAGGTCAGACGCAAGTACTTATCTTTTGCTGATTGAGCACTGCTTTTCACTGGTTCTGAATACTGGAGTAAACTCTCCTGATGTGGAAAATGCCTCCCAAGTGCCGCTGCTTGCCTCACCGCACACGCAAGCTGATCCAGCCTGAAGGGCGCCGGCTCCCTCTGGGTCAGGTCTGGCAACTCCTTGCTGCTTCCGAACCGTCTCTCCCTCCCCCTGCCACTCAGTCCAATTCCTCAACTTTGCCTTTGATGTTCAGGGCTGCTAGACTGTCATATATAATCAATTCACTTGTTTTTTCGGGTCTTTGTTGTAAGAGGGACCACAGGAGGTGTCTGACTACTCCATCATCTTGGTCCTTCCTCAGGACATGCATTTTGGAAGGATACTATTCAACCCAGTACAGAGCATAATCATTTACTTAGTCTGTATTCCCCAGATAGACCCATTTTTAGTATCTTGTAAATCTAAAAAGTGATACTTGTAACCTCTCCTAAGGCTTTCCACTGCAGATATGCTAACACTTCTTTCCTGTCCTGCAGCTGTGTGGACCACACCCCAACACTTAAGCTCTGGATGGCAGCCATGAAGCAGGACCCCGCAGTATGTGCTCTTCTCATAGACAGGAGCACTTTCCTGGGCTTCTTGAATCTCTATTTTCAGAACAGCCCTGATGCCTTTGACTATGGGTTAACTTGTTGAGCCTCACAGCCCACCCCTTCACCATCCAAAGTTCCCAAGCATGTTGCGATTCTGTGTTGGGGACTGTCTTAGGGGTCCGTCAATCTCTGTTCATTTTCTTTGAGGTTCCCAATAAAAATGGAAACAGGAAATATATTCTTTCTGATAATCATTTGTCTGACTCCTCCAGCACGTAGTTTCTGAAGATTCTTTAGAAAGTGCGCAGTGCTAATCTGAGCACATTTTGGGAGCCCTTCATCCCAGTTTGTCCTCCAGATTATTGGTGCTGGCGGTGATGCTACGGTTCAGGGCCTACCTCTTGACGTTCGTCACTATATACTGGCACCCTACGGAGACCCCCCTTGTGAAATAAAGGCTATAGAAGATGGTGAAGGAAGAAGAAAACACTCTAATTCCAAATGTTCTCCATTTGGCAAATGAAAGCTGCTGTCCGCGTGGGTGTATGATTTTCATCCTCATTCAAACTTTGGCCGTGTGCCTGGGAGACACCAAGGGTCTTATGACTGGAAAGAATTCCAAAGCAGGAAATGAAACACCAGTTTATCACCCTGGATGGAATACGTCAGAATTTGACTGGTGCTGTCAGGGCTCAGGATGTTTCACAAAATGTTCTGTAGCTGACATCCTGCTTTAAAAAAAATACATGCCCCCAGCCCAGTGAGGGGCAAAGGTCACTCTGTTGGATTTGCATCACACACCGTTGACTGTTTTGATTTGTCCCAACAAATGCCTCTGGTTGCCTGTTGTATACTAGCTCTGGACCATGTGGGAGTGTACAGATGACAAGGACACTGGCCCTGCCCACAGGAGGCCTGATTTCCCACTCATCTGGTGGGCTGCTGACGGCGGGGATCTAGTCTCCACCCAAGGTTAGCCCCTCTGCTGGCTCGGCCAGGCAGTACTGCACCACTAAGGACAAGGGCCGAGAAGGGTGGAGAGTGGGGTGGCACGTGTTTTAGGCTGGGAACTTCTATCACCTACATTATAGGAGTGGGACCAAGTCTGCCCAATGCCATATTATCTCAGTGTCTAGATAACCATCCACCCATGATCATTGCAGCTTTGTTCAATATGTCTGCTCTTCCCAGCCTGCCAGTCATGCTAAGAGACCAGGCAGGAATGATGTTTTCAGTTCTCACTGCCCCTGCCTCTGAAAGCCCAACCAGCCCTTCTTTTCTCCTCCCATCTCAGCCCAGCCCTGCCATCTGCTGGCTCTGGGTATATTTTGACCCATGTAAATAGTTACCAGGTGTTACTCCCTGCCAGTTGGACAGAAGCAAGCCTGCTTAGTGAGGTGGCCTGGTCTGCCAGAACAGGCGCCACCAGCCAGGGGCAGTCTGCTGTGCCATCTGCTGAGGATGTCGCACTCTGTTGCCATGGCATCAAGCTAATGCAGAGTGAAGTATGTGAATCACTGTTTCCTGGGTGTCTTTGTTAGGGAAGAGGAGCGATGTCGCCACGGCCTCTGGTAGGACCTAGAGGACTGATGAGCCTTTGCCAGGTATAAAGCCTGTGTGCTAGAGAGTGTTTGGCACGGAACCAAAGTTGGTGTTGACACACCTGATAATGATGGCATATCTCTGGGTGGCCCAAACCACAGACACTCTCGTTGGGGCTCCACACACCTAGCCAATTTAGAAAGTGTGCAGAACCAGTAGATGAAGGATGGAGAAAAGCAGTAGTGGGGGAAAGGTTGCAGACTGGTGGCTCCCAGCCCACTCTGGGATTCGAATGCCTTTCAGCCAGCTGAGCTCTTTGCAGTTTGCCGGGGCGCCACCACTTACACTGCCTTATACTTCCTCCTTCTCACTCATTTATATCATTCGTGACCCTCAAAAAGACCTGAGTCTCAACCTCTGGATGAAACTAGAAGGAGTTAGCCTGGAGAAAAGAGGGAATGAGGCAATGAGAACAATGCTGCAAGAAGAGCTTGTAAAATACCTCTTCTTTTACTAGGCTGACGGGAGAGTAGAAATAATTCATGTAGGTTAAAAAAAATACAATAATGAAAAAAAATAGAGTCTTCCATTATCTTATGCCCCAGAGATAACCACTTCTAACTGGTGTATCTTTTACAAAAGCTTTTGAAACTTAAGGATTTCAGTGAAAGCTGCTCTTTATCTCCTGCAGATTGGAAAAGAGGAAATTAGTTTAAATCACAGCATTTTAAAGAACCGCATTGTACTACGTGCTATTGTCATTAGAAGCAGCACCCAGGGAAGTTGTGTGGATTTCCCTTCCTCGGAGGCTCAGAACTAGAACCAGTCTGAACGGAGTCCAGCTACAGCCTAACAGGGTGGTGGTGGCCGGAGTCCAGTTACAGCCTAACAGGGTGGTGGTGGCCATAGGGACAGCTGGCAGCAGCGGTGGGGGATGGTGACTAAATTCTATTTGAAATTCCTTCTAGCTCTAAGATTCTCTGAACTCAGATAACAGAAGTAGCTGTGCATGTTAAAGTGGATTTACTCCAAATTGTAAGATACAAACTAAAGCTTTCCTTTCAACCCTGCAGGGACTGCCTGCACGGTGCCTCCCACATTGCCCCTTGGAGCTTTGGTGGTGGTGGTGGTTGGGGGGAGTCTTGCCCTCGATTTCTCACCTTCATATTTCCCCTGGTTCATGTTTCCTTGTCAAAGTCATTAGCCTTCTTGATGGAGGACAGACTGTGCTGCTGCGTGTTGAGAACCAAGCTTGATTCCCTGTAGTTTATGTCAGCCTAGTTCCCATTGTTATCTAAAGTCTTCACAAACAGCCAGATATCCAACCCAGGAGAGTTCTCACTGATTAGCCTTCAGACCCCCTGTTTGCCCACATGCACTGAACACTGTGCCCACCCAGGAGACCCACTTCCATTCATCTACATCTGTGAGTTCCTGGACGGCTGGCCATTTGGTCCTTTCAGAACATTTGGCTCACTTCTGGCTTGTTCTAGCCCTTATGCCTTTGTAAACATCATTTCCTCCCCTCTCTAATCTTCCTCAGAGCACCCTTCTGTTTTTCTCAACCAGACTTTTCTCTCTCAAAGTTTAGATCACAACTCTACTAGCGCAAACAGAGGCAGTGTGACATAGTGTTTAAGACTAGGGCTTTGTGGTCAGACACACCGGGCTCAAATCCTGGCTCTGCCACTCATTAAATTCCTTGGGCAAGTTGCTTAACCTCTCTGAGCTTCAGTTTCTTATCTGTAAAATGGGACCACTGAGAACCTGTTTCATAGGGTTATTGGAGAACAATGAGATAATCCGTGTAAGGCCTTAGCTCTGTGTCAGTGAGTACTGTCACGATGAGGGTCTTGCTAATGATTAGACTCTGTGCTTGTTCTCCATCACCTTGTGGAAGAAGATGTCTGACATTGCATGCAGCTTGCTTCATGATTTTGGGGTTGTTTTCGGGTTGTTTTGTGTGTGCGGACTTAGTCTCACATGACCTGTGAGTCCTTGGATGCTGGAACTCTTGTCCCTCCTCCTTCCCAATTCCATGCTCCCCAAGGCCTAGTTTAATACTGTGAATCATGAAATCTTGCAGTGTTGCTGATAAAAGAAATTCCCTTCTCCTGCTCTGGAGGAGTCGTCAGAATCTCACTTGTTTGCTCTCTTGAAGCAGGTTATTTCCTTCCAAGGGTTCATATGCGAGGGAGTTGAAATGCCCACAGGCCTGCCCCTATTACCGGGCAGCTGGGGTGCTGAATGGACCACAAAAGCTCCCCAGGACATGGATACTGCTGGCTCATGGAAACGTTGATTACTCATGGGCTCCACAGACAAGAACTGTGGGGTACTCTGCCCCGTCATTTCCTCCCAAGAATCTACCACGAGCATGAATCCCTCCCAGACGGCAAGGATCCCCAGCCCACTTTGTCATTAGCAGATGGCCTCCCTCCAGAGGGTGTGGCTGAATGGCAACAGTCAACTCCCTGGGTTAGGGAGGAAAGAGACATTCCTAGCCTGTCCCGGGAACCCTGAGCAGCAGGAGTAGCCTCTGTCCCAGCTCCTGAGGATGGGCAGGACGAGGCAGGGGGCTGGGAATGAGGGGGTGGATGTCTGTTAGTAGGAACAACAGCCTTTGTTAAATCTGGGTTTATGCTTCCAAAGCTGTAGACTACATGAGTTATGCTCAGGGGTTTAGAAAATCTCTCAAAGGATGTATGCGTGTGTGTGTGTGTGTGTGTGTGTGTGTGCGTGCACGCACGTCTCTGTGTGTTTCTACTTACTATCTCCCAGGCACTTTGTATATGTTATTTATACCCCACAGCCTTATGAGGTAAGTACTAACGACTCCCTTTTAACAGGTGTGTAAACTGTTTGGAGGTAAAGTAACTTGCCCAAATGTCATACAGCTTTACATACTGTACATACATATGTACATACATACATTACATACTGTAATGGCTACAGTAATGAATGCAGGTGGCTAACTCCAGAGCCCATGCCCCTAGCACTCCTCTGCTTCCTCGTGGCCAGAACTACCTCGCCCTCTGCCCTTCCCCTTGTGCTTTCCCCTCTAGACTGGAAAGAATAGTGTCTCACTTGACTCCGCACCTGGCACTATGCCTGGTATACAGCATGATAAAGTGGTTTGTGAATGCGCAAACGCGTGTATACATGACTGGGTGGATGAATGAACTGAATGAATGGATTATGGACCTTAGAAGCCTGACCCTTTCCAGGGAGCCCATCGTGAAAGCAGCTGTCAGTCTTTTGCCCCACTCTGCTGTCCAGAACAGATGCCTGTGTCTCCAGGAAGCTGGGATGTCCTCCCGGGTATGCTCGCTCTAACTCTGTTGTGGCTGTGGCAACTGCTGCTCTAGGCTCTGGCTATTCTCCCGTGAAGGCACCTGGGGAAGAGAAGGGTGAGGAGGGTCAAGGCAAAGACCCTGCCGATTTCCTAAAACTGAGGAAACAGTTCCTAGAGGGCCCAGGCTGTGCTGAGGAAGCCTCCAGGGAAGACAGACTCAAGCGTGGTCACGTGTGGAAGGAGGTACTCATGAGACAGCCTCACCACCACTGGCGAAGTCAGGAAGTACGAATTTGGCTGGAAGGAGCCCTCCTAAGGGCAAGGGTAATAACCACTGCCATTTTTGTTGATGAACTTATTATTTGTCAGGTCATAAGCTAAGTGCTTCACATGTGCTCTTTCATTTAATCTTCTCAATGGCTCTAAGAGGCGGGCAGTATTATTCCTGTATTATAGTTAATGAAACTGAGGCTCATAGAAATTGAGACTTACCGCGTTAGGACATGACACAGCTGGGATTTTAACACAGAGCCCAAGCTCCTAGCCCCTATGCTATTTATACTGTTTCTGGAGTCTCCTTCTCTCATGATGCACTCTCTCCTGGAGTCTCTTTGCACCTTTGTCATGGAAGAAGTCTGGGTACCTAGTGGGCAGGACCTCACATGTAGGCCTCCGCACTGAGCAGTCACATAGGTGGACATAGGGCAAGGGGTCCACTCTTCCTTATTTCTCTCTGGATCATTGAACATTGAGGCTGAGCAAGTTTGCTGAGTGAAGTCTTGTCTCCTTCTGAATGGGTGGAGCTTCAGTAGCTTCCTTGCCTGGCAAGATTATGAAATGTGGTAAGGAGGAAATGAATGTGTGGAGTGGGCTTCTTAGGAAACAGCAAAGCTATAGATATTAAGAGGGCTGAACACCACCAGGCCCCCCGGCCCTGAGTCTGGCTCTTCTTAAGACC